TATACACAAGACAAAATATAAATAAATACATAGAAGACCTCAGTCTCCACTAGAAAACTTTTTTAGAGCTGATAAACACTTTCAGAGAAGTAGCAAGACTCAAAGTAACATGTAATACACACAGCAGTCTTTTTATATAATAATAATGAACTTGCTGAGAAAGAAATTAGGAAAAAAATCCCACTCTGAACAGCTTAAAAATGCATAATAAAACACTCAGAAATAAACCACACCAAAGAGGTGAATACCTTTACAATGAAAACTTTAAGTCACTGAAGAAATTAATTAATACACTAAAAGATGGAAAGACACCTCATGCTCATGTATTAGCAGGATTAATAGTTAGAATGGCTGTACTGGCCTGGTGAGATGTAAAGGTGCTTGTCACAGAAACCTGGCAATCAAGTTTGATCTTGAAGCCCTTGTAAAGATGGAAGGAGAGAAATGACTCCACTAAGTTCTCATCTGACCTCTACACATGCACAGTGGCACGTGCATCCCTTGCCAAAAAGTTACAGTCTATAAAAATACAACTTTAAAAAGCAAATGGTGATTTTACCAAAAGTGACCCATAGATTCTAGGATTCCCATTCAAATTCCAATGACATTATTCACAGAACTAGATAATACAATCCTAAAGATCATATGGAAGCAAAAAATCCCACATAGACAAGGTAATTCTAAGCAGAAGGAACAATGCCTGAGGTATCACTACATCTGATTTCAAACTATCACAATCCTATAGTGACAAAGGTAATATAACGCTGGCACAGAACAAGACGTGCAATGCAATGTAATAGACCCGAAGACCCCAAAATGAACACACACTGCGACAACCACCTAATTTTCGAGAAAGTTACCCAAAAGAAGCATAAGAAAAAGACATTTCAACAAATGGTGCAGGGGAAATTGGGTACTCACACATAGAAGAATGAAAATAGATTAATCTCTCTCAACCTGCACAAAAATCAGTTAAAAACAAAGATCAAATACTCTAACGTACAGCCTGAAACCTTGAGACTGGTAGAGAAAATACAGAAGAAAAGCCTCACTTCATGATATAGACATACACAAGGGCTTTCAACAAAGAAATTTAATTGTGCATGGACTGACACTTAGAATTGATAAATAGAATTATATGATATCAAAATCTCCTAAGGAAACAATCACCCAAGTGAAGAGAACCAACAGAATGAAAAAAAATGTCTTTGTAAACTATACAGTGGGAAGTTAATATCTAGAATATAAAGAACTGCAAAAAATATACATAGAAATACATATTCCAATCAATCACTAAACAGACATTTCTCAAAAGAAGCAATACAAATGACCAATATTTGAAAAAGTGTTTAACATACTTAGCCATTACTTTTAATACAAATTAAAAGTAATCTTGAGATTCTATCTCACTGAAGTCCAAATGGCAAGAGGACTTCTGTGAGTTCAAGACCAGCCTGATCTACATAGGTTCCATCCACAATGGCCTAGGAATAAACCTAACCAACATATCATAGAAATACAATATATTTATTATTTATTAGAGCAATGGTGGAAGAAAGAATGGGTAACAGAATTCATGACAGTGACAACAGAAAGGAAGACTATTTGGGGGAGAGAAAGGGGCAGCAAGAGGGAACTGGGGAATAAGGAGAAGGTATCAGGGAGTAATGAATACAGACAAAATATTAATGACATACTTATGAAAATGCCATGAAGAAATTATTTTATGGCAACAGAAATTGAAAAGGGGAATAAAAATCATGTTTAACAATTTATTTTCCTTCCAAAAATAACTCAAGCTACTAAAAATCAATGGATTACCTATTTTTCTAGAGTTCATACAAACTATGAAATAGGTTTTTTGGAAAAAAAGACCATTTTACACACTAATATTTTAGTAAAAATTAGTTTATTTTACCAGTTATTTAGTAAAAGGTCAATAGAATAGGACTAAGAGCTTGGCAGTTCTGTTGGAAGAATTATATGATCACTAATAGTGAGGGCTTTGAAAAGAAACAAAACACCAAGGATATACACTGCATGATTGTGCTAATTCAAAGGTAAGCAGAGACAACCACGGTAGGAGGCACATGGAGGGGGGGGGGTTTCCCAGACTGGGAGGACATGAGGGACAACTTTCCACATAATGTTCTGGTTGCTTACTACACAGGTGTAAAATGTTTCAGAATTTATTGATCTAGAGGTGTACACTTCACACATGACTTCCTCATGCCAGCTTAGGCTACAGAATGAGATTTGTCTCAACAAAACCAAGCCCTCCCCAACAAGAAACAGGAGAAGGTGCAGTAGGTTTAGAATGCTGCCTGGAACCTGAGTGTGGATCCCTCCCACTCACTTAGAAAGCCAACTGCCTGGAACTCCAACACTGGGAAGGCTTTGGGGGGTGGGGTGACTGGATCTAGTGCCTGCTGACCTCCAGATAGCTGGAAAAACTGAGCCCCAGGTTCAGTGAAAGAACATGTCTCAAGGGAGTAAGTAAAAAGTACACACACACACACACACACACACACACACACACACACACACACACACACACACACACACACACACACACACACACACACACACACACACACACACACACAAGAGTGGGAAGGACAGAGAACTTCTTTAGAAAGTGGAAAATTTTCAAGCCAGACAGATCAACTCCAGTTCCATCACTTTTTAGTGTTACTATACACTTGGAAACTAAATCTGCTCCATGGGGCTGCTGCTTAGATCGAGAGTTAGCACATGTAGAGCTTGAAACCCCAGCAGCAATTACATTATCAATGCAGTTGGTATAAAGGAGAGGACAGCTAGGGATAAGAGCGATGAGCTATATTTTACACATAGGACTGGCTTCAGCGGACTATCACTAGAGTCACACTGGAAGTTTGTGGGCACTATAAACTCACGCTATTCCTGGTCTGGTGGCTAAAAGTTCATGCTCCTAACTGACATAGCAGCTCACACCCATAATCTCAGCACTAGGGAGGCTGAGATAGGAGGATCATGATTTGGAGACAGCCTGAACTTTCCAGTGAAACTGTCTTAAGATGAGAAGAAAATTATAGGTTCTTGAAACTAGGTTGTCTAAATTTGAATATAGGGTCTGACACTAGGCATGTGACACTGCCCAATTTCTTTAAGTTAATATTTAATATTTACTTCATATAAGTTTTGCAAAGGGCTTGGAGATAGAGAGAATATTGTGATTTTAGAACTAGTTTATTACTTTGCTGTTTCTGTGATAAAACCGTTTTGGCTTACGGTTGCAGAGGGCTGGAGTCCTAATGGCAGGGGGGAGGCAGCAGGCAGGCATGTCAACTGGAGCAGAATGCCGAGATCTCACATCTTCTTTTATTCTTATTTTTTTGAGACAGGGTCTCACTGTGTAGCTCTGAATGGCCTGGAACCGACAGAGATTCACCGGTCTTTGCCTCCTGAGTGCTGAGATCAAAGGCTTGCACCATAATGCCCAGAAAGAATTCACATCTCTACACACAGCAGAGAGCAAAGTGAAAGTGGCAGGAAAAGTTTACTCTCAAAGCCCACCCCAGTGACACACACTTCCTCTATGAAGGCCACACCTCCTGAGCCTCCCCAAACAGCACCAGCAATTGGGGAGTAAATGTTCAAATGTCCAAGACCCTGGGGGCATTTCTGATTCAGATCACCGCAACTAGTCAGTTAAAATGTCTGTATAATATTTACCAATGGACTGACAGGCTGCCAATGAGTTTGCTCTCTGGTGAGATTTTCATCTTAGACAAGTCATTTTTATTATTTATGTCTTGATTTAAAGTCATAACTAGGGGCAGGGATGAAGCTCAGTGATAGCATGCTTGCTTAGCCCCTACACAAAGCCCTGGGTCACATCCCAGCACTACAAATACAAGTGAGTGAATGAATGAATGAATGAATGAATGATCTGGGGCTGCATGTAGCTAAACTGGCAGGGTGCCTGTCCAGCATGCACAATGCTCTATTTTATTCACCAGCACCACATAATTCAAGCAGGGCATGGTAGTACATGCCTGTCATTTCAACACTGGGGAGCGGGTTGGCAGGAAGACTACAAGTGCAAGATTATTCTTGGCTACAGAGAGAATTTATGGGCATCCTAAAACACATGAAACTGTCACAAACAAACAAACAAACAAGCAAACAAATAAAACCATCACCTTGGATAGAGGGACCTTCCTAACCTATCTGAAACAGTAGATCTGTTTCCTGGAGCTGTTGTGACAAGTTAACAAACTGGAGGTGTTTAAACCAAATACTCTCTCACAGGTGTGTAGGCCACAACGCAAAACCAAGGTTAGCAGAGCCAAGGTCCCTCCAAAAGCTCTAGGGAAGAGTTCTCTTGCCTCTTCTGGCTTCGGGTGGTCTGTGGCAATGCTTGCTGATCCCTGGCTTAGGGATCATCAACCTAGTTTAGACCTTCATTTTTACAGCTTCTCCACTGTGGAGCTAGCTATTCCTCTCCATTTTCATAAGGATACCTGTTACCAAATTAGGACTACATAGCCACTATAACCTGGACTTTATTTATTACACCTACAAAGAACTCCTTTCCAATATGATCACATTGCAAGGTTCTAGATGGACATGATTTAGGAATAGGGAGGCAGAGACAGGTGGATCTCTGAGAGTTTGATATCAGTTACAGGAAAGCCAAGGCTGTTACACATAGAAACTCCATCTCAAAAAACAGGGAAAAATACTTTTGCCAGTATGCTTAGAGTATTCCTTAAACATGTAATCTTACAATTTTTCTAATCAGATATTAAGAAAATAAGTTTTCTTGGTAACACATGGATAGTTTTCATTTACTTGATTGTCCCTCCACGAAGGTAGGAAGCAGCAGCATCTGCTTTTTACCTGAAGTTGTAAAAATATATGAGAGAACCAATTCATTAATTTTGGGTGGAAGAAATGTGAATGATAATTTGGCATAAAGTGACAAAAGAGCTCATGGCTCCAGAACTTCTTCCTCCATTTTTAAACCACATTTTTATTATGACCAGTACATGAGCAAAACAAAGCAATTATAATATTTAAAGAGTATCAACCAAGTATTCCAGCTACAAGATAGGCTCTTAAAGTCACATCTTGAGTGTTTTGATTTGTAAGTATTCCTTCAATGATTAAATGGATAATTGGGTATAGAATTGGGGCAAGAAGAAAAAGAGTTATAATTCCCTCTCCCTCCCTGCAACTCTCACATCAAACATTCTTATTTGTTTTATGTATTGTGTTTGGGAAAAAGTAAACCATTGAAAACAAGCAAACAATTTTTTTTCCTCAAAAATTTCATACAGGTATTCAACAAAACTGGTTCTATCCATCCCCACTTCATTTCCCCCTCTGACTCCATGTGTCTTTTCTGTTTTCTGATAACCTACTAAGCCCAGTTGATACTTACCATATGTACATGGGTGAGGGGCTGTCCACTACAGAATGGCAATCTTCTAGCTAATGAAAATTTAAATTTATACAAACGACTTCATTCACTGTTACAAGTCCCCCAATTTGCCCGAGGGTTTGGATTCCAACTACTTACATGGTATGGTAGTGTTAAAAGAACACAGGCTTCAAATAATGTTGGCTATTGTGTATATAAGGTACTGTAAGTGATTTTTCTTATTATTTCTTAGCAAAGGATGGTATATACTTTATACTACTGTGAGAATTACATATAAAAAATGTAAAAGCATTTCATTCTCAGTAGGTGCCAAATGCCACTTTCTCTCCCTCAAATAACATTAAATTATTTTTAAGTATTTTTATATATAGTATTTTTTCTAATTTTAACAACTTGAACAAATTGACTCTGTTAGTAAGCTGAAGGAGTTTGCTAGTATTTTGCTTTCTATACTTAATAGAAGTTATTTTAAGTTAACAAAGGTCTTTCTACAAACATAATTCAAAGAAATCATAAAATATATTATTTATACCTCAAAGAATACATATTGCCCATTTTGATTTACATGTGACCTTTGAAATTGGCATAGATCTAAACAATGGGCAAAATGCCTGAAACACAGATGGGTATGAACACTCAGGTGCCCCATGACCATGATCGATGCAGATGTTAAAATAGCCAGTTTTTGCTACTGGTCGTCTGTTCCTACTAATAAGTCTATTAAAAACAGAAAACTAATTCTGAAATACATAATTATTCAGTCTTCAACAGGGATTTGAGATGGTCTATGTTTATAGTCTGGGTATCTTGAAAATCAATCAGTATGCACTGGATGCAGAGCATCTCTTTCTACAGTTACAGCTAAGGGGTGTGGATGTAGCTCGGCAACAGAACACTTACTTGCCTAGCATGCACAAGGCCATGAGCGTTATTCCTTTATCCCCAGCACTGAAAAAGAAAAGTTACTGCTGAAAAGTCAGTTTAAGATGTTGGATTACAGTGATGGTTTTGCCTTCTAGTTTCTTCTCTCTAGTTCAAATTCAGCACTTAAAACAAGCAGGGATCTCCAAATAATGTCCTTGTGCCAGGTCCCAAACACACAGGGCTGGTTCTTGCATCCTGGAACAGGATACAAGAGTATCAACAGATACTCAATGACTCCCACTCTTTTTCCTTAGATTTCTAGTTAATCCTAGCACAGAGGACTTTCCTCCCATTGTCTTGAACTGTTGAAGAGCATTCTGTTAATATAGAGATGTTTGCACTACCTATTTATTAACGAAATCCATTAGTCAATTAGATAGCTGGACTAAAAATTCAAACCATTAACTTAGTCTGTGGCTCTCTTCCTCCCCCAAGGTTTTAAGGTTTTTCTGAGCTTCAAAATGTAAACCCTACCATTGACTTCTCAGGAATGCACTGTGAGTGTTGTTTCTCTAGGTTCAGCACCAGCTTCTCCTTTGCCTTATAACAGAGGCTATCTGGATCTTGTAACTGTGTTCAGCTTCCTGAACTGTTACAAGTTGTTTTTGAAGAAGAAAGGGCTATTAATCTGTTACAATAGATTGGATTGGAAAGTTTCTAGTCAAATTCCATTTTCCACATTACAAAAATATGTTAACAATACACACTTGGTTAAGCACATCACAATTTAACTGCTGAACCTATTAGTTCTAAAGTCATAAGCTTGTATGAAAAATGTAAATTGTAGTATTGCTTTTTTAGTTATCTAATGATTACTAAGGTTAATAAAGCAATTCTTTGCTATAACACTAGAGTTCCTTCATTAAAACACAATTTTTGTTAATGAGGCCAAAAGAAAGCTCAATCGAAACCATAACAAGTTCAAGCTGATGCCAGACTTACAGAAAATAAACCCTTAGACCAGCTATTAAAATCTCATTCCTTAAATAGAACTGAAATGACTTTTTCTCCTCAGGAGTTCTGAACTTGTATTTGTTGTTTATTAACAATTGGGACCTAATAGATGACAACTTTTGCATTTGTAGCATACTAATACAATTTTAAGAATACAGGCTAGTAATTTTTGAATTATAAACCATATGACCTCAGTAAGAACTGGTAGAGCAGTTTATACTGGTAGAGTATAAAGACACCTGTTTTCTCCATCAGGAGGGCATACAAAATACACCTCAAACACAAAAATACTTATAAGAGACAAAATGAGCAGCTTTGGAAGTTAAGGTCACAAACCTCTAGGATTATTGTAGCCTTACTCCTCTTAGACAGTGGGTCCATTTTATGAACACACAAGCTGTGGAGTAGCATAGGTCTCTTTCTGTGCCTCCTTGCACTGCATTATCAGTTCAATCTGGCGATATTTTTAAACCAGTGATGATTTACTAAGAAGATCATGTACAGAACCAGTGAGTTTTCATGGAGAGTATACTGAGGGAGTGAAAAGCAACATGGCAGCAGACTACTCAGGGAAACTGGACATTAGTAGGAACGGTTCAACATCTCCCCTTCTACAGCTGTAAGCCCATGTTCATATGAAGCTTTAGCTTTGCCCAAACTCATGATTTGGTTATGGCCATAACCAGGAGAGACAGAATGAACTGTTCACTGCTCAGTTCAGCTTGACTCTGGTGAATTCTTCTCTGGCTTTATACAATATTTTGCAAACAGAATCCCCTGGCTTTAGTAACATGTGCAGTGCTCTATTTCTCTAAGATGACCGTGTCGCGCCCCCCCCCCAACATTTGGGATTTGTAGTATTATTGCATTACTGCAGGGTAATCATCAGGGATGCGGGTCTGAGTGGGAAAATCATCCAAGATTAACTCACAAGTTTATGAGTTTTAAGGACACTATGGCTGTAGCTGAATCTTACATGTTTCGTGTCCTTTATGGTTTGGGTAGAACCAGGGAAAGTTATGGCATTCAAAATTTAAATCTATCAAATAGTTGTGCTGTCACGGCTGATTTTAATGTACTATAGTAATATTTTAATGTTTCTATTGTTCACCTTACATTGTGTAGATTATAGAGGGAAAATAAGAGGAAGTCTATAAGCTTTTCTTTTGAATCATTAACTTAGCAGGTGTAAAAGCAAAACAACTTGGCCTTGAACCTCATTCCTACCTGATCAACTTTGTATCTAAAAACTGGTGGCTGCCACTTAGGGTTCCAAGTAATAGAACCCTAACCACCACAGGCAAGGAAAGAATAGTATAAAGACACCTGTTTTCTCCATCAGGAGGGCATACAAAATACACCTCAAACACAAAAATACTTCAGTTTGAGTAGATCATACCTTTGTGCGGTATACTGTGTACACACACACAGTAAATGTAAGAAAACCCCACTATATCCTTATTTACAAAATTTACCTATTATTCTATATGGATTTAAAACTTAGAATATCATTAGAAATGGAAAGAAATATAGCTATAATTTCTATGTATATAGTTGTGATTTTTATGTGCTGTTATTTAAAAGTCATTCTTTTCAATGATTAGTATTTGGGGGGCTGGAGAGATGGCTCAGTGGTTAAGAACACTGGCTGCTCTTGAACAGTTCCTGGCATTCGAACGATGACTCACAACCATCACTCCAGTTCCAGCTTTCTTCTGGTCCCCATGGTACCCAAGAAAGACAGTGCACATACAGATATCCAGATATTTATATTGACCACATATAAATAAAAATTAACATTAAAAATTATAGAAAATGTTAATAAAAAAGTTTTACTTAACTCCCCAGAGCAACAAATGTGATATGTATATTAGTAAGGGTTGCCTGCATACAAATTTTGATAAAATTAACAATATTTGGAAGACATGAAATGAAGCCAAAAACAAGGAATAACTCTAAATTTGTCAAACTTATAAAAATTCATTTGAATCAATAAATCATGCTTGTTAGCCTTGCAATTTATAACAGGAAATAATGTGCTGCTTTCCCCCGACTAATCTCAATTTATTATTTAATGTAACTTTAAGAATAGCATTAACTGCCCAGCATGGTGTTTCATGACTCTAACTGAGCTCATAGGGAGCTGAGGCAGAAGACTAGTTTTTTGAGGCAGCCGTCCACATGGTGAGTTCCAAGCTAGCCTGTGCAAGAGTAGAGATCTTGACTCAAGCCACAATAATGATAACAATGAGCACCACTTAAAAACTATTTTTATGTGTTTCTGTGTGCCTGTAGTTTATGTTCACCTCCTGCATGCAGGAACCTGGAGGGGCCACAAGAGAGCATTAGATCCCTTGAAACAGGTGTTCCAGCACTTCTGAGCTGCTACATGAGTGCTGAGAACAGATCTCATGTCCTCTATATTAAGTAGTAAGCTCACTTAACCATTGAGGAATCTCTCCAACTCCTATTACTTTATTTTTTAATAAGCGTATATTATATTTGCTGTGTGACTTAAACATTCAAGTATAGCAAACATTGCTCAACGTTAAATCCAGTGCCTTTTAAGATATAGTTATTTATGGTCTCGTGGTAAAAATAATCACTTTAAATTATATATACATCCTTTTTGACCTCTGTGGGCTCTTGTACACACAAGGTGGATATACATGTACACTAAGGCATGCATACACACATACAAATAAACATTTTAAAAATACAGCCCCCCTACCCCCCCCACGCCCATTTCCTTATGGGAAGCACTGTCTAATTCCCTTACTGTTCAGGTGAATGCTCTTAGTAGTTATAATCTTTTTTGTCTATGTGCTGGCTAGTTTTTATGTCAACCTGCCATAAGCTAGAAGTGGGAATCTCAATAGAGAAAATACCTCCATCACACCGGACTGCAGACAAGTCTGTAGGGCATTTTCTTGGTTGATTGTTGATGTGTGTGGGGTGGTAAGCCCACTGTGGATGACACCAGCCCTGGCCATGTGGTCCTGGATTGTGTAAGAAAGCAGGTTGAGCATGCCATGAGGAACAAGCCAGTAAAAAGCATTTTGTGGTCTCCCCTTCAGTTCCTGCCTCCAGGTTCCTGCCCTAACATCCCTTCATGATGGACTACAATTGTAAGCTGAAATAAAGCCTTTCTAACCAAGTAGCTTTTGGTTGTGGTATTTATCACAGCAAAAGAAACCCAACTAGGACAGTTTTGTGGTCTGCTTTTGCCCCTATAAAACAAGTTATAGCATAATACAGTACATATTTTCCCTTTGGACTGTAAAATCCTCATGGCCAAGGATTTGTGTATTTTATTCAGTGTTATATGGCAACAGCCTAGAATAAAGCCTGTGATATAGGAATCTGTTGAATGAATGAGACTACAAATAACCAAACAACTTCTATGGAGATATTAACACACACTATAATGTGTTATTTTTGTAAAATCGAAATTAGCTGTGTTAATATTCTTTAAGGGATACCAAATTACTTGCCTGACATCTAAGCTTTATATATATGAGCATGCTCTTGATTCTCTTAGATCTTTAGCTCAAATGTTACCTCCTCAGAATTATTACTGTTGTAAAATCTACAAAAGCCCCTCCTCGACACTCCCTAGCTCATTTCTCATTTCTTCTTTTTGCTGAATATTATGTTAAGTATTTGTTGATTGTTTATATTCTCCACAAATAAGACTCATATTCACCTTCCATATAGCCGTATTTTCCTTTGCTTGTATAAGTGCCTGGCACATAGTACAAATTTGTGAGCATGAATGCACTGGGAATTTGTATGCACTCATGTTGTTCATCATACAAAAGAATGGTCCAATTGTCTATATCCAGATCTGAAGTTGGAAAGCAATCACTTGCTTTATTCATTAACCAATAAAACAAACAAAATAGTTCTTTATGCTCCACTTCATGGTAATGTAAGGTTGATCTGACTTCATATGTGCTAGATATTATCCCACCAAGTCAAATTGAATACTTAGATTAAACCTTAAATTTAGTAATTCTTAAATTTTGTTTGTTGTGTCAGCACCTTCATGTCAGAGGAGGACCTGGAGAAAGTTGATTCTCTCTGTCCACATGTGTTCGGGGCTCGTGTTCAGGTTATTAGGCAAAGTACCTTTGCCAGCTGATCTATCTCCCTGGCCCTTACATTATTATACTTCGAAACAGGTTTTGGGCCAATAAGTTGGCTCAGCTGGTAAAAGCACTTCCGGCCACTGCCAAGCCTGATGACCTGAGTTTTATTCCCAGGATCCACATGTTGCAAGGAGAGAACCAATTCCTAAATGCATACCAAGGCACACACCCTTCCACATACACAATAAATCAATACAATGCAACAAAATATAAGTCTTGTATTTACTCATTGCTCCTTTCTGAATGAAAATGTATTACTTTTATTTAACCAAAGTAAATGATATAAATCCTGTTAAACTCTTCAGCTAATGCTAAAACTACAAAGATAGTAGAGGACATTTTCAAACTTCACAACTTTGTGTATGTGAACTAAAAAATTAAGCTTTGAAAGCATATTCCAAATGAAATATGCAATTTCAGTATACATATTTTAAGTGTCTGTTTACTAAGAATGTTTTGACCTGTTGAGAATGTAAATAAGAAAACTTTCCTTCCACTTTCCATAATACCAGGATATTATTATATCAAGAATCAATCAAATTGAATATTCCCTTTTTCCTCTATGGTTCTTTTAGGGATTTTTATATAGATCCTAAGATTTTCAGTAAATTAATTTCTCAGACACAAAGTCTGTCTTGTTAACTTTGAAGCTTCACTTACAGCTCAATTGGAAGCTCTCCTGACCCTCTACTTCCACCTACTCAGTACAAGGACTGGGAAGCCGTGTGGGAGAAACCTGGCTGTCAGATACCCAACTCTCTAAGTCCAGTGTCCTTGGTTTGTGACAGAAGGGAGAGAAAACAGACAAACATTTACCCTTAATTAGGTGAGGATATTCTCTTGAGTGTCAAAAGCTCTGTCTCTGAGGATGCCTCTTTGATGGAGGAAGCATGGGCTCTGATTAAGTAGTCTCCTCCTATTGCTGGGATGATACACGTTGCTGAAAAGCAACCTGGGGAGGAAGTCGTATTTGACTTACATTTCCAGATCTTACTCAGTCCACCACTGAGGAAGTCAGGGCAGGGTCTGAAGCAAAAACTATGACAGAATGCTGCTTGCAGATGCATGCTTGGTTTTCTCATGCAGCCCAGGAGCACCTGTCTAGGGATGGTGTTGCCTACAGTGGGCTGGGTCCTCCTTGAAAACTGATAAGACAATCCTCCACAGATATGCACACAGGCCTGTTGTGTTTAGGCAATATTTCAATCAGAGCTTTCCTCTCAGAAGGTTCCAGATGATGTCAAGTTGACAAAGTTAAGTAGGACAACTATCTTCCTAATGGTGGGCCTCTGGAAGAAATTTACTGCTTGCATACTTTTTGTTGCAACCACCTTCATACTAACAAAATAACTCGGCTTACACCATGGCATAGTATGACAATCTCCATCATTGTCATACTAAATGACAGATGGAGAGAGCACTTTCTTGTTGTACTGGCCTCTCTGAAATTACTTTTCTTCTTCTCAGTTCCAGTTGTTCAACAAGTCCCTTCCCAAGCCAATATCTAACAGAGAAATGTGTCTATGCTTTTCCTTCTTTTAGGAATCCTGATTTTCCATTTCCTTTCAAACACCCTCTCCCATGTCAATTGCATATTGGGAGAGACTGGCCACCAAGCAGCAACACTTCTTTCTCCTCTCTATGGTCTGTCACTTTTGACTAGAGGTGGGATAGAAGCACTTTGGTGATGAGCTGTTAGCACCGGTTAACTTTACTTAATATTTCAATTTAGAATGTTAACATGTTTGATACACTTTATACTTGACATAATGGCACAATCACAACTCTTAAGAAAATTTGGAAACTTCCTCTCAGTATTAAAGCATCAATTATTCAGCTGGAACCATACTATGGGACTAATTCTGGTTGACTGTCTTTCTTGAGGTTTTAGAAAAACACACCCCCTCAAGAGTTAGAGAAATACCTTATCTAATCCTGTTCAAAATGTCTTGTTATACATTTCATACCCCATACTATTAATTAATCATAGAAGATCCTTAATCTCCATGTACAGAAACCCAGAATTAAGCCTTTCAAGTATGTCTTCATCAAATACAGATAGCTTACAGTTTTGATTAACCGAAATTTTCAATAAAAAGCTAATACACTGAGGAACCCACTTATATATTAAGAATATTAAACAGCTTTGCAAGGAGAGTAAACCAGTAGCTTACGAACTAATGTACTGAGGGACTGAGGAACTCAGTTTGAGTTCTTTCTTTCCCTTTTCTAGCGTAAGCTGTTTTTACAAGGAACCACATAGTCCCAAGTTCTTCAGGTTAGAGTGAACTAACCAATGCATACTATTTGTCCACTGTACCACTCTATACCACACTGTAGCTAAGAAGACCCTTTTGTTCTTCAAGTTTTTGCTTTTAGTAGGAAGCAAGGAGATTTCATCATGTAGCTGTTCATTAGATCCTCAGATTTGGTAGTCCTATGTCTTACAATCTCTACTATGGTTATCAGTCACCAGGAGCAACTGCCAAGCTTGTGACTGATGACCCAGCTGTCTGGGCTTTCCATTCAACTCTTCCATAGGCTCTCTTTTGGTAGGTGCAATTGGACATGGTTTGAGTATCCCCTGCAAGGGTTCATGTGCTGGAAAATTCATTCTCCATATGGTGATGCTGGGAGTCAGTAGGACCGTTAGGAAGTGGAGCATACTGGAAGGCTATGAGGTCACAGGAACGCTGCCCTCTATACTGCTGTCTACAGTACCATGATGCTATCTGTAATGCTCTTGGACATTCATAACTGTGAGCTGAATAAACTTCATTTAAACATTACTCAGATTCAAGGCCTTTTTGTCATAGCAACAGAAAATAGACCAACTAGCACATGGATGCTTACAAAGAACCATTTCCCAGCTGTAGGCTGCTTTATTAAAAAGAAAAGGTTTGAAGATGTTTCTTAAGGACCATCTTTGCCAATCAACAGTGGTAGCTACAGCAAAATTTGTAACACTGAAGTTAATAGAAACTACTCCTTTAATAGTATAGTGTTTAGTGAAATACAAATTCTGTTCTGTGAAATATAGTGGTTAATTCTATTCTAGGCAGTGCTTTTAAAACACCTTAATTGTGGCTACATGTTTTACTTCATATGAGATGAGCTATCCTACTGAAGATATAGAGTTATTTGAGTATACTGCAAATACTCTGTAACTGCAGTGTCTTTCAAAATTGATAGGCATGTTTTGGGCTGGGAAATGAGCTTATTGAGTAAGAGTGCTTGCCGTGCAAACTTGAGGAACTGAATTCAGATCCCCTACTGCCTTCCTACATAAAAAGCCCAGTGTGGCCAGACATGAAAACCTGTACTCCCGGTGCTGTGGGTTGTGTGGGGCAGAGAAAAAGAACATGGCTGGGGCTCACTAACAGACAGCCTAGTTGAAAGATGGTGAGCTCCAGGTCCAGTGAGACCCTGCCTTAAGAGAACAAGGCAGAGGGTGGCAGAACAGGACATTTGACATCCTTGTCTGGCTTCTGCACACACACAGGCACATGAGCCCAAAGATGAAAGTGCACACACACACCATTCACCAGAAAAGTACACCGTCCCCTCCATAATGATAGGTCTTTTAAAACCCTGTTAGTAACTGTGGATGAGATGCCATCTCATAATCTGAAGATTGGCTTAACACATATATTAAGACATTACAGTAGCAAAATCATATGATTACTAGCTGACACTGTCATTCAAGAATACACTTCACTTTCCTACTTGATTTTTATGTACCAACAGAAAATATAATGCTAGCACATTTACATTTCTGATGTTTTTCATTTAATGACTATTTTTAGGGGTGTTACTTCACTGCTTTGACCTTTCCTGATGTCTCATTA